AGTTAAAGGAATATTCCCAAATGCTAAACATATGTATTTCTTTTAAAGGTCCATATTAAACTCTGGTGTTCCTAAACTGTGGGAGTACTTGTGGCCACCTTGAATTCTTACATTACCAGCAAATGTCACTATTCTAATGTGACATTTACAGCAATTTTTCTCTCCTTAAAGCTAATTAAAAGTGAAGAATTAAAGGAAAGCACGTCTTGTTAATGTTTACTGCAAAATAAAAGAGGAATAAAGATATATTAGTTTCTTTATTATAATACTGCTCTGGAGAATGCAGAGTGAGTCTACATGGGAGTTAGATTCCCCACAGATTTTCCAAGCACATCTAAATTGAAGTTGTTCTGAGGTTCCAAGAAGGGGAAGTTCAGGTCCTTTCAGGTGCCTCATGGACAGGTGCTTTAAAATATGTACAGTCATCCCTCAGTCAATCCCAAAAGGGATTGGTTCTGGGACCCCCGCCTCTGCAGATACCAAAATCTGTAGCTGTTCAAGTTCCTTGAAAATGACACAGTATTTATGCATAACCTATGCCATCCTCCCACATGCATTAAACATGTCAAGATTATATACAATTTCTAATACAATGCAAATGCTACATAAATAGTTGTTAGATCATATTGTTCATGAAATAATAACCTAAAAATGTCTATACAAGTTCAGAGTAGACACAATTTATTTTTCTGAAAATCTTTGATCTGAGTTCAGTTAAATGCATTAACTATCCCATTCCTTCATTAACAAGCCTTGAATTTAAACAACAACAACAGAAACCTCTGCAGAGGCGGAACCCCTGGGTACAGAGCAACTTTGTTGCTTCAAAGATCCCTTAAGTGGAAGGCATTCTGCAGCTTACCTCTGCCCCTAATCAATATATGAATTCAAGGAGCAAACAGAGATGTGCTAGAAGTACTCTAACAATTCTAGAGGCAGACTGATTTCATGCAGACATGAAATAATCTTATAATCAAGAATCTTTTTTTTTAGTTAATTTAGAACGTTTTCCTTTAGAAAAAAATTGCTTTTGACTTAAGAATTGATTATAAGTGACATTACAGAAACTATAAGTACATGTTGATTCGGCCTAAGTCTCTCTTCTGAAATGGAGGAGGTAAGAGAGTTAAATATCTTTGTTTTTTTTAATCCACTGATAGACTAAGGTGTGTCCCCTTCCAAATTCATGTGTTAAGGTTCCAACCTTCAGTACCTCAGAAGGTGATTTGACTTGGAGTTAGGGTCTCCGCAGATGTAATTGACTGGAGTAGAGTGGGCTCTTAACATGTATCCTTTTTTATAAAAGGAGATAGTTTGAACACAGACATGCTCTGGCACACAGGGAGAATGCTACCGGAAGAATCATAACCTTGCCATCACAAGCCAAGGACTAACAGACACCAGGAAGGGGGGGGAGGGGCTGGGACAGATGCTTTCCTAGTGTCCTCAGAACCTTGCCCCATACCACCCTTTCCAGAACCCTGAGACAATAAATCTGTGTTGTTTAAGCCATGTGGCTTGTAGTGCTTTGTCATAGCATCCCTGTAAGACGCGTGGGCGGTAATTGCTTTAAGGAAGTGATTAGCATTAATGGTAATAAAATGCAAAGAGTGTATCAATTGGTTATTGTGCTAATTGTTTTCCTCTTTGCTCTTCATCCTCATTTGGCATTTAGCTATTATGTAGCCATGATTTAAATTTAATATTTCCCTGGGAATCATAAGTTAAGTGATTTTCTCTAGAGTCCTAAGTAGATTTGAGTTTCTAACCCACTAAATAATCGAATTTTTAGAATCATCCCGGATATCGTCTCTTTTTATAGAGGAGGAAATTAAAGAAGAGACGTTTCAGGATGATGCTCATATAATGTCAGAGCTTTCTGTCTCCATGGAGGTAAGTGCTTCTATGTCTCCTTCATTTTCACTGATTGTCTCATAATAGTAGGCTAAAGTTGGAGATTTTAAATTATGGAGGTGAACAGACATACTCTGGATACTGTTTTTGGTTGTTGTTTTGGTGATGGGGATTGAACCCAGGGGAACTTTACCCCTGAGCCACACCCCCAGCCCTTTTAGAATTTTTCATTTTGAGATGGGATCTCACTAAGGTGCCTTAGGGCCTCTCTAAATTGCTGAAGCTGGCTCTGAACTTGCAACTGTCTGGCCTCAGTCTCCCTAGCACTGGGATTACAGGTATGAGCCACCATGCCTGACTTTCTAGGCACTCTTGAAGTGTGGGTATTCTACAAGTGCTACGACAAGCAGAATATAGACAACAAAGGCCTTGAAACTACAGGGAATCATTTATTAGGGAATCATCTAGAGGCACCTGAAAGCTTTTTTACTCTCTAGCATCTCTACATCTTTTGCTTAAGGGTAATTTAATTAAGGGTAAATTAAACTCTCTGCTGTCTGTCCCAGCCCCCTATTAAGGCCCCCTTCCACAAATATTATTATATCGATCAACTCTTCTCCTCTGCTGCTTCCTCCTCTTTGATTTTCTGAGTCCTACATTTCTATTATGGATTGAATTGTGTCCTCCAAACTGCACTCCGAATGTGAGTGAATTCAGAGATAGTCTTGCAAGAGGTAATTATGGTAAAATGAGGTCACCAGGGTGAGTCCTGACCCAATATGGCGACTGTCATTACCACAAGAGATCAGAGCACAATCTGCAGGCAAGGCCCTGTGAAGACACAGGGAGAAGACAGCAATCTGTGAGCTGAGGAGTGAGGCTTCAGAAAAAAACCAGCCCTGCCCACACCAGTATCTCAGAGGTGTGGTCTTCAGAAATGTGAGAACATCCATTTCTGCCATCCATTCTTGATACCTTGTCATGGTGACCCAAAGAACTAATGTAACTCACTTGAAAAGTCAGCAAACTTTTAACTGCCACATCATTCTGTATTCACTGAAGATATAACATACAGTAATCTGTTTTATTCTTAGCCTTATAAAATTTATCTCCAGTTTCCAAGGATAGGGCTTACTGAGTGCACTGTAATCATAACCATGAAAAATACACAAGATTTTGTGTGCATCTCAGACTCTTTGTCTCTCTCTCTCTCTCTCT